TGTCCTGATGGTTGATGTACAATGTAATACTTTATCCATTTTAGTATTTTTTTTTCTTGTTCTAGTACCATTGGTTGAACTCTGTAATTAACACACAATTATTCTTAGGTGTTTAAATTTTAACTGAAAAGTGATCCCTGTTAGGAATTTGGAAAACATTATGTTGCGTGAAATAAGCCAATCCCAAAGGGACAAATACCACTTGTTCTCCTTGATAGCTGACAACTAACTGAGCACCAAAAAGGAAACCTGTTAAAGTGAAATGAACACTATGAGAAACGGTGACTTGATCAGTCATATTCAAAATTTTAATCATAAAATGTATACACACACAAACTGACACACATTCTCAGAGGGTATGGAAAAGGCAGGGTGGTGGAGGAGAGACCAAAGGAAAGAAAATGTTTGCTTTCAGAAGGATTATTTTGCTTATCCAGATGGCATACCTTCTTCCTATAGAAGCAAAGTTTTGGACTTTCCTTTTATTATGAAAAACTAGACTTCCTTTTTTTTATTAAATGTCTAGGCATAAAGGTTTGTGAATTTTGAAATAAATTTTTTTAATTTTAATACATTTACTCATGTAAAATAAATATGACTAGTGTTAGAAGTTTATATTGAAATACGTAAGGTTGTAATAATCAAAATTGAATACAGAAATGCAAATTATAATTGAACACCTAATTGCTTACTCTATGAAGAACAAAATATCATGTACTTGATAATATATGGTTTATTTTGCTGATTTGAATACTAATTATTTACAATTATAATATAGAACATTTTTAAATAAAACCATTTAGATGAGAACTACAATAACTTATATTGATGTAAAATACTTTTGAAATCCATATTTTTTCATAATCCATATTTTCCATAAACTTTTAAGGTCCTCTCGCTGAGGCTAGATTAAGTAAAAGTTATGGTTTTGTCAACAGTCATGTTAACTAACTGAAAAAATATCAATAGGATAAGTTGACATACTAGGTCTGATAGGCTTATTTTATTATTATTATTATTATTATATTTTTTGACAGGCAGAGTAGA